TGATAGTGGGCATCCTTGCCTAGTTCCTATTCTTAAAGGGAGTGCCTTTAACCTCTCTCCACTGAGAATAATGCTGGCCCTAGGGTTTGCATAAATACTTTTTATTATGTTGAAGAAATTCCCCTCTAATCCTATTTTGTTGAGTGTTTTAATCAGGGAAGGGTGTTGGATTTTGTAAAAGGCCTTTTCTGATTCAATTGACAGGATAATGTGGTTCTTATTCTTTGCATTGTTAATTGTTTTCCTTATGTTGAACCATCCTTGCATCTCTGTTGTAAATTCCACTTGGTCATGGTGAATTATTTCTTTGATGTATCCATTATGCTTCTAATTTGACATTTATCTAAAACAATTGTCCAACATTATTGCAGGGAGAGTGACTCTACATTAAAATGCTTGTTTAGTTTTTTATTTATGAATTCTAGTTCTTATGATTTATGGGTTTGAGCAATATGTTTCCCTGGATGTTGAAGGTGATTATAATTTAGGATTTTAAAAAGGATATAAAATCTTTAAACAACTTTAAGTGTTTTTCTTGGTTTGCTATTGGCAATATGGATTGAAATACAAATTTCTAACGGGATTACTATCTGTCTTACCAAAAGTTGATACCCAGAGAAATGATTGAGCATAAGACAGGAATTTCTTTTTATTTGTTATTTTTTTATTTCTCTTTGTACCAATGTTAGTGAAATATCTGTATCTATAAATGGTGACTCCTTAGAAATCACTATTTATTTCAATTTGATGGTTGTAATTTTACTTACATATTTTCCTTTCTTTAATGGTTTGAAATACATTTAAAATCATTTTAAGACTACCTTAAAAAAGACTACTTTTTTGTTAATAAAATTCACATAATATACCATGTCTGACATAGAATACAGCTATTGGTAAATATATTATGTTGATGTTTGCTCTATACCCCTCTCTTCATTAATAGCTACATCTTTTATTCCTATGATACTATGATGTTGTTATTGTTGACTGACGTTGAGTCAAGCGCAGCTCATAGTGACCCTATAATAAAAGGCCTGAAGCCTTTCTATAACTATCAAATTTTCAGCAAGTTCATAGAGTTTCCAGAGGCAGGTGGTTTAGTAAGTGGATGCCGTTCCTGCTTCCAACCCTGTCTTAAACTGAGAGTGCATCAAAGACTGTCCACCATGTGTAGTCATTATGGCATTTGACCCCCAATAGCACAAGGTTCAGCATCACAGCAAACCCAGACTACCTCAGTGAACCAAATCGACAGAGGAGTGCTGAAGGACTTATAAGAATGTTCCTGCAAAATAACATAGCACTAGGCCCTCAGGCCTAAGTGACTTTTAAATACAAGAGCATCTCCTCTCCTCTCCTCTCCTCTTTCCTCTTCTCCCCTCTCCTCCTCTTCTCTCCCCTTTCC